CCTGGAAGCCTCACTCTATCCATTTCCCTCATCTCAACTGTAACTCAGCAAGGAGGACAAAGTACCTTACCTTGACACACAGGCTGTGGTGACCATTCTGTGGGCAAGTGATGGAGAAAGGCTGTGATGCAGTATAGGGCAAGGCAAGGATGTTTTCAGTATATCCAAGATCCTTGATCTTGACACACAGGAGTCAAGAATCTTCTGGAAGCTGGGCATGGTGCCACATGCCTTTAATCCCAGCACTTGGGAAGCAGAGACAGGTGGATGTTTGTGAAACAAGGCCAGCCTGGTCTACATAGCAAGTTCTAGAACAGTTGGGGCTATAGGGAGACCCTGTCTCAAAAAGACAAAAAAAAAAAAAAAAAAAAAAAAAAAAAAAAAAAGAATCTTGTGGAAACTCAACAGGAATTTGGCAGAGAACATGTCATGTGAGGCCACTTAGAGTGGGCTGCTCCGTCCCTTTTTAACTATAGGGCCGTGGTTCACTCACTCTGTAGATGTGTGGTAAGGGTGGGGAGAGAGAGGCGTGGCCATGACACAGCATCCCACATTTCAGAAGGTCCCCGTGAAAATGTCTTTATCTTGCAGGAAGAAAGAAGAAACAGGCATGGTAATACACACCTGTAGTCTCAGTATTTGGGAGATAGGGCAGGAGTTCAAGGTCTTTCTTGGCTACATAGTGACTTCAAGTTTGAGGCCAGCCTGGGCTATAGGAGACCTTGTCTATAAATAAGTAAATAGGCTGGAGAGATGGCTTAGTGGGTAAAGTACTTGCCATGCAAGTATGAGGACAGAAACTGGGGTCCCCAGCACCCACATAAATGCTAGGTGGGCGTGACCACCCACCTGTGTCCACCTGTCATGCCAGCTGGCTAGAGGCAGAGATAGATGCTTCCAGAACAAGCTGGCTAGCTAGACTAGTTGAATCAGTGAGCTCTGGATTCAACTAAGAGACCTACCTCAATACATAAGGTAGAGAAGCCATCAAGGCAGATACCCAGTGTCAACCTTAGGCCTACACCGGGTACCCACTCAATACAAACACACACATTCATATGCCACACACATCAAAAAAAAAAAAACAAACCCAAAAAACAGAGGCTGGGTATGGTTTCACATGCTGTAATCTAGCACTTGGGAGGCAGGCGCAGGGGATTGCTACAAGTTCAAGGAAGCCTGTTCTACATAGCAAAGTTCTAGGCCAGACAATGCTAATGAGCTCTTGTTTCAAAAAAACTATTTTAAAGTCGGATGTGGTTTGGCACATCCTTATGATCTCAGACCTCAGAAGGGTGAGGCCTTGAGTTTGAGGCCAACTTTGGCTATATTGCAAAATGTTGCAACAAAGAAAAACTCATTTTAGAAAATGTTAGGGTCTCGGGATGATTTCCTTTGTCCCACAGGCAGCTGTGGGTAGACTGAGGGTGGAGGGATGGGCTATGCTTCACACTTCCCTGGACCTGTCTGGGCAGATGGAGGTCAGAGGGCTGTCCTTGGGGGAGTACCAGGAATGGGTGGGAGACCCACCTTGGGGAGGGCGAGTCATGTTGCTGAGAGGGTGGTGTGCCACTGAGTTATTTCTCTGTCCTCGTGTATGGCTGAGGCACACCTCACTGAACATAGTTGGCTGGTACCTAGGCATTCATTGAAGGCTTCTTTTTTATTTATTTTTAAAAAATATTTATTATTTTTATTTTATGTGTATGAGTGTTATGCCTGCATGTAGGTAAGTGCACTTGTGTTGTGCAGCGCCCAAGGAGAACAGAAGAAGCTGTCGGATCCCCTGGAACTGGAGTTACGAACATGTGACTGCTGGGATTCGAACCTGGGTCTTCTGCAAGAACGGTCAGTGTTCTTAACCACTGAGCCATCTCTCCAGCCTCAAGGCTTCTTTTTTAAAAAAAATTATATTTTTGAGGGGCTGGAGAGATGGCTCAGCAGTAAAGAGCACTGGCTGTTCTTGCAGAGGACCTGGGTTTGATTCCTAGCATCCACATGGTGGCTGGCAACCATCTGTAACTCCAGTTCCAGGGGATCTGATCTTCTGACCTCCATGGGCACTGCATGGCATGGGTGCACTTACATACATGCAGGCAATACACTCAAACACATAAAATTTTTTAAAAATTAAATTATTTTTGAGTTATCATCCTGCTGTGAAGCCCAGCTGAATATGAACTCCCAGTCCTCCTTCCTCAGCCTCCTGAGGATTCCAGGCATGGAATCCTGGCCAAAAGGCTTCCACTCTTGATTTCTTTTTAAAGTGTTCCTTTCTAGGCTCTGTCACATCTACAGATCTGTCTCACGATCCAGTATGCTCCCTCATATGCCCTCAGCTGGGGCTCCTCCTGCCCTCCAGCCCTTGCCTCAGGACCACTCTTCTTTAAGAACCCTTCCTTGGGTTCCTCACGGAGCGCACTGCCTCTTCAGGCTTCCTCACTGCATTTCCTGCACAACTGTGTAGCGTAGATTTCTGCACTTCTGTTCCATGTGGGTTCATCCTCTGAGCAGCTCTCCATGGCATAGTGGCCTGGAACTCAGTGTGCTGACCAATGGATGCCCATGCTTTACCATGGGTCACAAGGCTGTTTCTTGCCCTGGGGCCAGTGTGCCCCCAGCCTCTCAGTTTCTTTTTCCTCTTAATTTTTCATACAAAGTGTCCTTAGTCTGTGGTTTCCGAAGACTTCCCCCAAGTCATGTGAGACACTCTCTGAGGAAGGGTGGTGTCCAGTTGTTCCCCTCTCCTAAGTAAGTCCCAGGGGCTGTCTTGTGGGCATCATCCAGGCTTCTGTAACTGGCCTAGGGACTACTGACCAGAGGTGCATGGGGGGAGGGAGTGCTGTGGTGGGTCAGAGAGTGGGGACTGTAGTGTGATGTTGCTGATTTCTTTGTTGGGGGAGTACATGGCACAGTGTGAGTGTGGAGGTCAGGAGACAACCTCAGTGTCAGCCCTTCTACCGTGTTTGAGATGGGGACTCTTGTTCTCTAGGCTCGCTCATCTGGCCTGTGAGCTTGGCCTGTCTCTGCTTCCCATCTTGCCATAGTGGGGTTACAGTTGCATGCTGCTGGGTCTGGCTTTATGGGGTCTGGGGACCTGAGCTGAAGTCCTCATGATTACTCAACAACTACTTTACCCACTAAGCTGTCTCCCCAGCCCTGATTTCCAGTATAGTCACACAACCACATCTCACGGCCCACTCTTGGGGGAAGAGCCTCAACTGTAAAAGGAATAATGTGTGAGCCCCCCATGCAAGTTTGTTTTTCCAGGTAATCACAGTAAAAACATAAAAGGAAACAGAAAAATTAATTTTTAATGTATTTTATTTAACTTAGTATATCTTAAATATTATCTTATATGCTGAACATAAAAATAACTAATGGGATTGTTAACTTTTTCTTTCGTACTGTCTTTTGTTTTGGGTCTTTTTTGAGACAGGGTCTCCCTGTAGCCCCAGCTGGCCTGGAACTCATTATGTAGAGCAGGCTGGCCTTGAACTCACAGAGATCCACCTGCCATGTCCAGCCTTGTACTGAGTCTTTAAAATGAGGGTTTTTTTTTCATTTCTTTCTGTGTAGTGTGTGTGTGTGTGTGTGTGTGTGTGTGTGTCTGTCTGTGTGTGTGTCTTTGTGTGTATTTTCATATGCGTGGGTGCACGTGTGTGGGCAGGTGTATGTGTGTGTATGCCTGAGGTTAGGGTGGGTTTCAGTTCTCTTCTTGATTGCTTGTCCACCTCATTCTTTGAGGCAGAGTCAGTTAAACCCAGGTTTCAGCAGTGTAGCTGGTCTTGCTGGCTAGTTTGCTTCAGGCATTCCTTGTCTCCATTTTCTAAGGCTGGAGTTACAGGTGAACAGCTGTGCCTGCCTGGCATTATGTGAGTTCTGGGGATCTGAACCTCCAGTCCTCCTGCTTGCATGGCACGCACTTTAACCACTAAGCCCTACTCTAGCCCGTGAGAGGGTTTTTATGCTCAGTCTGGGTTAGTCACATTTCAGAAACTGAAGAGCCACATATTTTCCCGGGGAGATGGTTCAGTCAGTAAAGTGCTTGCTGTTTAAACATCAGGACGTGAGTTCAGTCTCCTGAATTCATGCAAAAAAGCCAGGCACGGTGGTGCAAACTTGTAATCACAGCACTGGAGAGGTGAATGGATCCTTGAGGCTCACTGGCCAGTCAGCCTAGCTTAATAGTGAGTACCAGGCCAGTGCAAGACCTTGTCCCAAGAAACAAGACTCCTGCAGAGTGACACCTGAGATTGACCTCTAGCTTCCACACATGCACATGTATGCACACACACAAGAGCCACATGTGCTGGTAGATGTTCTAAATGTGAGCAGTCACTGTTTGTGTTGACTCCCCCGCAAATGCACCTTAAAAGCAGGGATAGTGTTGTTAATAATCGGGTCCTTCCTTGGGCCACTGCCACACCTGACCAGATTCTGGTGCTGGTGTGGATTGAGGGGGCTGTCTGGTGGTGGCGGCGCTGGGCTGGCATTCCTACTGTGGGCATCTGTCTGCAACTTTGCCTCTGACCAGTTTGGGGAGCTTGGAAAAGACTGTGTTCCACCATGCCTTACCTGTATAATAAACTCCTACATCCATGGTCTCTGGGGCCTTTTTGGTTCTGATATGTCATGAATTGAGCCCTGACTCCAGGCAGGGGGGGTGCCCTGGACTGCTGTGCCTACCTGGGCCTCATTCCTGGGCCAGGATGTTGGAGAAAGTCCACAGCTGGCTAAGTGGTTGCTATCACAGATTCCGACCAAGGGCCCAGGCCTTTACTAATCTGTTGAGCCCCGGATACTGTCCACTTGACAATCTGGTGCCCACCCTACCATCAATTGCCTGTTACTCTACCCTGTGTATGAAGAGTCTGAAGACCTCCCCTTGCAGAGATGGACAGGGCAAGTCTCAGGCTGCTCATCTCTGGGGGTGATGGGCCCCAGCAACTCCCCCCTGCCTTTGCCTAAAACCTCACAGGGACCCTCTCTCTCAACAGGCTCAGCTGGAGGCTCAGAAAGCCACGCAAGACTTCCAGAGGGCCACTGAGGTGCTCCGTGCCGCCAAGGAGACCATCTCCCTGGCTGAGCAGCGGCTGTTGGAGGATGACAAGCGGCAGTTTGACTCTGCCTGGCAGGAGATGCTGAACCACGCCACTCAGAGGGTAGGAATGCCAGTGTATGTGCTGGTGGTAGGCACCTGGGCCTATGCACTGTATGTACAGTCGCTCCCCACAGGAGTAGGAGACAGACTCCCAGATGACCCAGAAATAGCCTTTAAAAGTCATGGGTTAGCCGGGTGTCATGGTGCACGCGTTTAATCCCAGCACTTGGGAGGCAGAGACAGGCAGATCTCTATGAGTTCAAGGCCAGCCTGGTCTACAAAGTGAGTTCCAGGACAGCTGGGGCTACAGGGAGACCCTGTCTCAAAACTACCAAAAAAAACTAGCACATAAGGTAGAACTATTGTTCTACACCTTCTTTAGCAGTCCCTTCAATAGACAATCATCGGTTGTCTGTTCCATGTGGTTTCTGGGTTGCCTGGCTGCAAGCCACACTCAGGGGTGAGCCTCCCAATGGCAGGTAGAGCAATCTTTCCCTGTATTATCTTGGGCTTGTCTGGTTCAGTGGTTCCTGAAGGTCTTGATAGTGGAGTTAAATTTCCCAGAGGGACCAGGTTGTTTTCTGAGGTCTGCCTCTACTGCTCCAGGACTCTGCAGGTTTGCGGTCCCAGGTATACCAGTCTCAACATGCACTGGCTCTGCACCGGGGATGTGCATGTTGGTGAGTGAAGGCAGGATCACAGTGACAGACCAGAATGAAGTGTGCACTCAGGCAAGGCCCTCCAGGTTGGAGTGTGGGGAGCAGTAGGCAGTTGCTGGGAGTGGTCATCTAGGATTTATGGTGTGATCCTTTGACTCTCTCCCTGCTTCCAGAACCTCCTCTCTGACCACCCAGCTCAGAATCTGAAGTGATAGTTGACTGGGTGTAGTTAGGCTATTGAATATAATACCATAAACTGACTGACTCCTAAATAAATTTCTCACAGTTCTGGAAGCCAGGAAGTCAAAGATCAAGACTCTGGCCTGTGGTGTCTGATGATAACCTGGTTCACAGAAGGCCGTCTCCTCTTGGACAAACAAGGGCTCTCTCAGGCTCTTTCATTTGTTTTCTTGTAGTGCTGGGGACTGAGACCAGGACCTTGCACATTGTAGGCAAGCACTCTAACGCTGAGCTCCATCCCCAGCCCTAGGCCTCCTTCGTAAATGGCACTGGTCCCACTCTAATGACAACGTTGACCCCCAAGGCCCACCCCCTAATACTGAGGATACGGTTTGAACAGATACACAGACTCCAGCAGGCAGGGCCAGGTGCTTGATACTATGGACTCGGATCCCCTGCCTAACTCTACTGGGTTTGCTGCGGTCACAGAATGGATGCTCCGTTCTCCCAGGTGCAACTCCTGAGCTTGTTTCTTGGTACTGCTGGCACCAGCCCGAGTCCTTCCTTTCTGTGCAAAGAATATGACTGCCTGGAAAGCCAGCACCAAAGTAAGGCCAGAGGTTTGTTGCAAGGTAGGCAAATGAGCTGTAGGCTCTGACTGAGGGGAGAGATAGAGGGGTACCAGTTACAGCTCTGGTTTTGGTGAGCAAGGGGAGGCTTGCCTGTCGGTCTGGAATAGAGAGAGGCTGCTCCCTTTTCAGTGTCACCTGCCACAGCCACTGAAGTCCTGGGGGATCCAATGATTAAAGATGGCCTTGAGTGACCTTAAATAGAAAGCTTGATATATAAATGACTTCAGGAGCCAAATCTGACTTGACTTTTTTCTACTGGCCCTGAGGCCTGAGACTGGTGTCCTCTGGGTTTGTGTGCCCATGAACCTCCTGCCCCCTAGTGGGTATGATGCTTGTAGAACCAGCAAGGCTGGGCAAAGTCTTGCTGGGTCAGCTTCAGACGACCCAAAGGGGAGGCTGGACATCTCCAGTGTTTACAAACCTGTCTAATAAATAAAAAGAACCATCACCACTGACAAAATGAGATGCAGGTCTGCTGTTCCTTTTTGTCCTTCTGCTACTCCGGCTGGCTGTAGATCTGTCTGTATCAGCATGTGGGAAACCATTTCAGAAATCATTGACTCTCTACATATGGTGATACATGCCTCTAACGCCAGCCAGGAGCCTGAGACGGGAGGATCAAGGCCAACCTAGCCTACATAGGGAAACCCTGTCTTTTTTTAATCTGTTTTTTGAAAAAGAACAAAGCATGCTTCTGCTGTTACTATGAAATCCCATTTTTTAGTCTTGAGGTTGTAGAGGATGGTGGATAACTGTCCCAGGAGGTGTCCTAAGACTTGACATTGTACAGTTCAGGAGGCACTGTACACATAGTTTTGGGGAAAAATACTTTCTGGAGTTGTGCAGTGAATATATTCTGGAGCCATACAAGATGACCTTGGACTGCCCAGGGTCAATTGGGACTTCATAGTGGCCTGTGGGTCATCTGATGGGTGTCCTCTGTCCACCAAAAGGAAGGACAGGCATTTGGTTTACGTATTGTTGGTGGGGGCAGCCTATGTGGATTAATCTATGCTCTGGGTCACAGGTCAGGATTTCCTCCTGTTGGCTGATTTCTTTTTCCTGGGTTCCTTCATGGTTGTATAGGCTGAGATGCTGTTCCTTGGACTGATGAGTTCAGAAATGATCCTCTGGCTGAGTGTGTGGCTTGGTAGTAGAACAAGTGCTTGGCAACTGGCCGAGTTCCATCCTCAGCAATAGAAAAAAAAACCCACAAAAATGCTCTCTTGGGGATGGAGAAATGGCTCAGTCAGTGATTAAGAGTGCCTTCCAGGGGCTGGAGAGATGGCTCAGCAGTTAAGAACACCGATTCTTCTTTCAGAAGACCCAAGTTCGAATCCCAGCACCCACATGGCAGCTAACAACCGTCTGTAACTCCAGTTCCAGGGGATCTGACAGCCTCTTCTGTCCTCCATGGGCATTGCACGACATGGGTGCACTTACCTACATGCAGGCAATACACACATACACATAATATAAAAATAATAAATAAAATATATTTTGAAAAAAGAATGCCTTCCAGAGAACCTGAGTTCAGTTCTCAGCATCCAAATTGGGCAGCTTACAACTACCTGGAACTCTGCTCCAGGGGATCTAACACCCTCTTTTGATCTCCATGGGCACACACATATGTGTGTCATATACTCACTCACATAGATACACACACACACAAATTGAATTTTTTCAATTCAGTTGAAAGATGACTCAGAGCACTGGCTGTTCTTGCAGAGGACCCAGACTTGAATCCCAGCATCCACAAGGCAGCTGTCTGTAACTTCAGTCTCGGGATCCAATGCCCTCTTCTGACCTGTTAGGGCATTGCATGACATGGATGCACTTAAATACATGCAGGCAATACACTTGTACAAATAAATTAAAATGATAAATATTTAAAAATAAGAAACAGAAGTACTCTCAGAAGTCAAAGGCTGTGGTCTCCCCCACCTCACCACACACCATTCAGAATCTTGACCCCCATGGCATACTCTTTCCTAATGTTCTCTGAAATACAGATGCTCATGTTTGGCTCTGAAAGAGTGAGTGAGAGTGTGACACTCTCTAAATTGAACATTTCCCCAAATGGGGCACATGGAGACCACTTCCCAAATCTCAAGGGGCTAACATGCCCAGCTGGTTCAGTAGACTCTTCAGGGTCTAGAGCATGACCTCCTGTCCAACTTCTGAAGATGCCAAGAAGCCTGTTTCTTTAGAGGAAGGGAGCTTCATGTCACCCTCTCCTTCCACACCTCCACACATTCCTCCTTGAGGCCCTCTGTGTGTCTCCTCCCATTGCCCAAACTTCCTTTTGTGATACTGGGTACTTGAAGCCATAGCAGAAACGAGCACATTTGATGTCAGGAGCCCAGTGTTCTCTAGCAGTCAAGTGTAACACCATAGATAGGCCACAGGGACATTTCTCTGGTGGGAAATGGAGTAGAATGCCACCAGGCCTGCAGCCGAGCAGCCTCCCTCAGGGGCACAAGGCTGTGTCTGCGGCTCTTAAGCACCAATGGAAATTCAGTAGCAGAGGCACCTCTAGCCTATCCTCTGAGACAGGAGTGCTGGCATCCTGGGAGGGAGGAATTAGTTTTCCTGATGTCTGCTGCAAGGGGCCAGATGGAGGAGGAGGGAAAGGTAGCTTGGAAACAGAGGCCAGTCCCTGTTGATGAGCTGGCAGCAGGGGCTGCTGAGGAGAAAAGGGCAGGGCATGGCTGGGATGACTGAGGTGCTGCTTGGAACAACTGCCTCTTGGTGGCGAAAGCCACTTGCTACCCTCTTTCTGGTACAGGAGTGTGGTAGGAATCAAACAGTGCGGAGTTCCCAGTGAGGCTGGGAAGACACAGGCTGTAACTGAGGGTGGAAGGTGGAGGGGCTGTGCTGCATGAACATCTCCACAGTTTCAGTCATTCTTTGGGGTAGGACCCAGCAAGGAGGCTGGGTCTGGTCAGGCAGGGACACAGTTCAGTACACAATGGAGTCCCTGCAGGAAGATGCTAGTTGTTGGGTATCTTCTGAGAGCTGCCAAAAGCAAAGGCCGGGGTTGAGTGGTACAGGCTCTGGGTCTTCAGGCCTTAACTTTTCTGGGGCTCCTGGGAAGGGGACGGCCTGCCACTTTTGAGTCTTGCTAGCTCAGGAGGAGGCTATCTGTGGATCCCACAGCATCCTCAGTGCTGGTAGTTTCCAGCCTGCCTGGATATCCAGGGCCACTTGGACATCCAGGGCCAGCAGCCCTCACTCACGTCAGTGTTGTACTGTCCTGGAACAGACTTGTCCAGTGCCAGAGCTGGCTGTTTGAGCCTACAGGCCTCAACCCTTCCCATTGGGCACCCATAAACTGTCAGTTTTGGGGCATTTGCGGCAGGCCCAGGGGCAGCAGAGTGTCTCTGCAGGTTGAGTCCTGTGGGCTGAAGTGGATGGAGTCCCATGTTATAAAGAACCTGTGGGTGGGGCACCAGGACAAGGCCCATTCTGGGAGAATGTTCTAAAACAACCTGAGTAGAAGTGAAGACCTTGCTCCTGTTAGACAGTTGTTTCCTAAAGCTAAGTTTACTTGTTGCCTTCCTGCTCAGGGAAAAGAGGGAGAAAGCTAAGCACCTTTTCCTGTTTTTGTGTGTCCTGTGTAGTCATCTAATGGTGATGGCAAATGGACCTCACGGACCCTAAGGGACCAGCAAGATGCAGCCTATTTTCTCCTATGTATTGCAACAGGTACAGGGAGAGTTCCACCATCTCAAAAAAAAGAAACAGTAAATCTCACCTATTACCTCAAATGCCATACTTGAGGCCCATCTCCTATGCTACCACAACCTCTCTGAGCTGTCAGAGCGACCCCAGCCACCTCACACTTCCTTACTGATGTGGGGAGCACTCCTACTCCAAGAAGCTGTCAGCCCCAGCTGTGCAGAGCCTTACCCCCAGGGGGCGCTTAATCAATGTAGGTGGCTCTGAAGTACGCTGATGGCAAGACCGAAGAGTACCTTGCAGAGCTGGGAATAGGAATCCTGGAATCCAAACTAAATAACTGGCTGGTAGGGGCTTCCAGGAGCCAGGGGGCACCCAGGAGGGCTCTCCTCTGTGGCTCCACCTCTGTTCTGTCCCCCCTGCTGTTCCCTCTTTCCTGGTAAGCCTTTGTCTCTGTGCTTCCTCCTTACCCTGCCTCCACCCTGCAATTCTTAAATCCCCCATCACTGTACACAATTCATGCCTGATTCTAGGCTGCAGATGGAGGAGTTACTTGGTTGTCTAGGTGATGTACCAAGGTGACATACTTTGGTGGTCCTTGGGGCAGGAAGCAGTATGGGTGTGTATGTGTTGGGGGGTATCTTTCAAGAGCTGGGGGTTGTATATATAGGTGGGGAGGGGAGATTCAAACAGGGTATGGTAGTTGTGTCATGATGCAGTGAGGTGAGCTCACTGATGTGTGCTGCCTTCAAAGGCATCACAGGCAATATGGCCAAGTACTTGGAATATTCTGGGTGTTTAAGTTTAGAAAGCCTTTGCTTGTTTGCAGCCTGGAGGCTGAGGTAGAAGTAGGACCTGTGTGCGTCTGGGGAGAGCCTGCTTCTCCCAGGGGCACTTTCTGTTCAGTAGCTTTAAATTACAGCTTTTAAACTCAGTCTACTTCAGCTATATCCAGTGCGCTCAGTAAAGGTGAATAGTCATGACGTCGTCCCATGACAATAAATCATACCCGATGTGTTGTCTGATAAGCCTGGGGTTTGCAGTTTTCATAAAGGTTATTCCAGTCATTCCTTAGAGCTTAAGATTCAAGATAAAACTGGAGTTACGGAGTATCAAGCCCGAGATTTTTTTTTTTTTTAGTGCATTTGTTTCATTGTGAAATATTTGGTGTTAGAAACCCAAAAGGGAAGGATTTTTCTAGCCCTGGAGGAGTCATTTTGGTGGGCATTGTAGCCTTATACTAGCTTTTAAGATTTGGAAACAAAATGCAGAATTTACAGGTGCCAGACTGGTGATTATTTTCAGGGCGATATTAACAACTTACAGCTTCACCAGGACATAATTTATCTTCGTTTCTCTGGATAAAAATCACTTCATGGCCCGACGACAGTTCAGTCTCTGGACTCCACATGGTGGAAGGAGAGAACCGACTCCCACAAGATTTCCTCTGATCTCCACACATGATGATGCGTGTCCATGTACACAGTAAATAAATGATCTTTTTAAGAATAATTTTTGCATTAGTACCATTTTCCACCAACTCTGAGGACTGTAAAATAGTTCAGGATACTCAATAATTTTTTTATGCCTGTTTCAAAGTCTGCTCTAGAACAGGAGTTACGGACAGTCGTGAGCCACCAGATGGGTGCTGGGAGCCAGTGCTCTTAACCACTGAACTGTTTCTCCAGCCCCTTTCTCAAGATTTTTTAGTTTTCCTTTTCTTTCCCCAGTCATTGCGATAGCCAATTTTGCTGTTTAATTTTACCTGACAGGCTTTTTCAAAATAGATAAGGAAAGAAAATCCTATTTTATTGGAGTTAGTTAACTTAGTTTTCCTATTGCTAATAAACTCTTTATGTCATGACATAATACCCCAACCAATAGCTATTCTGGGCTTGACCGAGCTGACCTCCTCTCTTGGTTTAAAGGTTATGGAGGCCGAGCAGACCAAGACGAGGAGTGAGCTGGTACACAAGGAGACAGCAGCCAGGTACAATGCTGCCATGGGCCGCATGCGCCAGCTAGAGAAGAAACTCAAACGAGCCATCAACAAGTCCAAGTAAGTATGGGTGCGGCCTTCCCTGGGGGCTGCCTTGCTCCCCCTCTGCTCTACCTTCCACATATACTCAGAGATCGTCCTAGCAAGCACTTGATGTAGACCTCAGAGCTCCATAAAGACCCCCTTTCCAGCCCCCTGTGCCCCAGTAGTCTCTGAGATCCACCCCCCTCCCAAAGCAAAGATGCTGAGGGGTGGACTGATTCAGATACAACCCTCGTAGGAGACATGGAAAAAGGAATGCCAACCATTATTTGACCCATAAGTTGGAGTCTGGGAAACTTGGACTGTACCCTTGGCTCTGAGGCTGACAGTGTGGACAAGGCCCTGTCCCTGCTGACCTGTCAGTCTACTTAAGGATGAGTTGTGGTCACCTTTTGTGGATCAAGAGCTGAGGAACTGCTACAAGGTTGGTTAAGTGGAGCTCTTCCCAAGCTCTTCTCACTACTACCTCTCTGGACAAAATAATGATCATGGTGGGAAAACATGGCTGTGGGGACAATCCCTGGCATCATTCACCAATTACTCTGGGCCTCTAAGAGAAAAGAGCAGGACTTATGATGGTTGGACCCAACAGTGACATAGGTTCTGGGACAGAACCTATGTGCTTGGCTATGTATGCCTGTCCCTGGGAGAGGAGACATGTATCCCCACTGGGACTGGGCAGCTAGAAGCTTGGCAGAAGCCCTACTCTCCTCCAGATGAGAGAAGGTGCCAGGGAAGGGAAGAAAGGTATGCAAGGAAGAGGTGGTTCCTCCTCTGCTCTGGACTACCTGCCTTCCCCTGGCCTTATCTGCTGCTTCCTCCAATACATACAAGTACATGCATGTGTAGGAAACATTTAAGTTTGCTACTGCCCTTCAGTAGGTTTGTGTTACCTTCTGGGGGCGGGGACAGGGAGGAGGTGGAGAAGGGTGTTGGGGCCCCTTCCCCTGGAAGCTGAGGGAGCAGCCCAATGCTGCTTCCTTTGTTTGGTGTGAATAGAAGACTCTCTGGATCCCCTCTGCACTCTCTCACTTACCAGAACCTGCTAAGGAGACAGTTCCTATAGCCACACTCTGCTAGCCTTTCCAGATTCCTCTGGGTGGCTCCTGTGAGACTAAAGGCAAGTCTGTGCCTTCTGTGGAGTGACTTTAGGGCTTCTCTGGGCCCACTCTGCTCACTGTTGCTCTGGTCACACTCCCGCCTGTGCTCCCCATCTTTGGCATTGATGTTCACATTCCTTTTGCCTGGACATCTTCCCGATGTTCCACATCAGCTCGTATCACTTTCGTACTCCCTCTGCACCTTGGTGGGGCTGGGATCTGCTGCTTTTGGCCACTTAAGAGAGCCTATGCTCAAGTTTCAGCTTTTTCCTATCAAAGGGGTCTTTCCATGTGTTATCAGGAACTGCAGATGCAGGTCTCTGATGTAGGGTAACAGCTCAGACAGAAAAGCTGCTACAAAGAGCCAGCCAGCTCTTCTGGCTGATCCAGAGTCAGGAGACTTGTCCTCTTCCTTGTTTGTGACCTGGTTGGCCCGCTAACTGTCCAGCACCTCTAGCTCTGATCACTGTCCAGGAGGACCAACCTGAGCCCTGTTAATAAGTGGTAGCCTTGCTATTTCCAGCTGAGGGGAGTGGGGTTGCTCTCTTCCACAGTTGGCCTCTGCAGAGGAGGTGTTTTTAAGTAGCCTGTCCCCCAGCCCCCTCTAACATTTTTACCTGGTCAGCAGACCCAAGCAGCTTCCTTGGAGAGTAAAGTGAACCAGGATTCAGGGTCTCCAGTATCTTGAGATGGGCCTTCTGTCACTGAGACCCTGTGTAAGGCAGCTCTGCTGGTGCCTGTCACTGTCATCTCATGCATGGCCTAAACTAGCAGATACATCTAGTGGATTCACTGTGGTATGGTATTCTTACAACTGTCTTTTCTGTCTTCTGCAGGCCTTATTTTGAACTCAAGGCAAAGTACTACATACAGCTCGAGGTATGTGTGGCCTTGGATTTATCACTGACTTTGTCTGCACCCAAAGCCCACTTTAATGTGGTGGCAGGCTTTCACATGACCCGTGTGCTGTGAGGGGAGAGTGGAAAACACACCGGGTGTCACATGGTGTCTGAAGCTCCTTGCTCACTGTTGGATCTCACAGTGAGCTCTCAGGCCCAGCAGCTCCCTGGCCCTACCCCACTGTCAGAACCTGTGAGGGCAGGGCAGGGCAGCAGTCTGCACTGTCAGCCTCTGTATGGGGGATCGGGATATAGGTCTAGGAGCCTCTGTGCTGGGAACCAGGTGGTGTATCTGCATACTGCTCCTTCCCTGGGGGTTGCAGTCCACCAGTGACAGCTTCTACATATTCCCACCTATCTTCTGGATGGGTGTTGGGATGGGAGATTTTCTTTCTGGTGGAATCGGTAGCCCTTGGTCGGGCGTGTATTGGGAAATTCTTTGTGTTGGAATCATGTGCAGCCTCTTGGGAGGCCAGCCAGAGCCACTTTAGTTTACCAGGTCCTCCATCTTCTTACTCAGCAACTGAAGAAGACAGTGGATGACCTCCAGGCCAAGCTGGCCCTGGCCAAAGGCGAGTACAAGGCAGCCCTGAAGAGCCTGGAGAGGATCTCAGATGAGATCCATGAGCGGCGGCGCTCCAGTGCCATGGGACCCCGGGGCTGTGGTGTGGGGGCTGAAGGCAGCGGCCTATCTGTGGAGGACCTGTCAGGAAGCAAACCTGAGCTGGACGCTGTTTCTGGTGAGTCCAGCGGATGGGAATCATACGATCTGTGGATCTGCTTTCAGGCCCATCTTGTCCCAGGGTCTCCATCCTTTCCCATCACTGAAGGACTTCAGAGCTGGACAACTCTGCAGGCTGTTTTTGGTGGCTTCCCATGTTCTGAGACTGTCAGCCTGGCATGGTAGCAAAGACAGGTGGATCTCTGTGAGTTCAAGGCCAGCCTGTTCTACATAGTGAGTTCCAGGACAGCTGGAGCTACAGGGAGACCCTGTCTCAAAAAGACCAAAAAAAAAAAAAAAAGAGACTGTCTTCATCAAATTGCTACTAAATGTTAGAATTCTGTGGTCAAGTGGTCAAGTGAAGTTTGGGAAAAATGTCACACCTTTACCCATCTCCGAGAGTTAAAGTATACCTTAGAACATTCAGGTTTTAGGAAGTCCAGAAGAAAGCTTTACTAGAGACTGCAGATTTAATTCAGACCTCGGTTTCACCAGTGCATGATGTGGGCTAGAGCGCGCCTTGATATTTTAGCTGCCTTGCCTTTTAGCGTGCCTTGATATTTTAGCTGCAGGAGAGGAGTGTCTGCTCTGCTGTTGTGCTGGGAGGTGAGGAGGGGTATGTGTGAGAAATGACACCTGGTGGCTCTCCCTGGGGCCTGAATACATAGGTCTCCTCTCTCCAGGGCTAGCCTCCAGAGAAAGGAGAGATTTGACTTGGCTTCTGTCCCATGAAGAAAGCTCCAGGATAGACACTGAGCCCTTTAAGGCTTTTCCTTGCCTGTGGAATAATCACTGCTGCTGGTCTCCCAAGGCTCCCTTCCTTAGCAATTCCTTAAGACCATCAATAAATGTTGAAGTGCCAGATCCAAGAAAAATGAAAACTTTAATGTAAGCGATTATTATGAACAAGTTACTTTACATATCATCTCATGAATCCTGTGCGTTGAGGACCTTGAAGCTCAGAGAGGTCAAGTAACTGAGCAAGGCCACCTGGTAACAATGGAGTTAGGATCTGAACTTGGATCTGAGCCCATTTCCCTGTCCCCAGCATTAAAGTACTTATTTACAACAATCTTCCCTGCAATGCCTACAAGGCCTTTTTTTTTTTTTTTTTGTCTTTTTGAGACAGGGTCTCCCTGTAGCCCCAGCTAGCCTGGAACTCGCTATGTAGACCAGGCTGGCCTTGAACTCACAGAGATCCGCTTGTCTCTGACTTCCAAGTGCTGGCCATTTTTAAAGATGCCATAGACCTAAAATCTAGATCTTCTAGATTAAGATCTAAGAAGCAACACTGCAGGCTGAAGAGGCTCTGAAAATGAGAACACCGTATTTCTTTCTGGGCCTTGGTTATTCTTGTCCACAAACTCAGGCACAGCTAGAACACTGGAAAAGAACATTTTTTTAAACTTTAAATTAAAAAAAATATTTTTGTGTATGAGTGTATTGCTTGCATGTGGGTAGGTGCACCCATGTCGCAAGGTCCCCACTGAGGTCAGAAGGGGGTGTCAGATCCCCTGGTACTGCGTTATGGTTATTAGCTGCCATGTGGGTGCTGGGAGTCGAACCCTGGTCCTCTGTGAGAGCAGCCAGTGCTCTTAACTGCTGAGCCATCTTTCCAGCCCCAGGAAATTTTGTTTCTTGTAGCAAATAGTGGTTTAGGTAGGGTGTCTTATGAGATCAAAAGTTACTGTAGACAATTTTGCTGTGAAGGTTGTGAACATAGAAATACAAGTTTTGTACTTACATAGATATTTTAAAATAACCAGACTTAAGGTCAAAATGTATGTGACCTTATTCCTTCCCCCAGGTATTTTCTGGGATTATTAACAAGACTGTTAACTTTTATGGTAAAGATAACCCTGCATCCTTGTGATCTTGAGTTCTGCTTATCCAATTGTAACCCTGTTAGGTGCCCCTCAGGAACCAACTGGTGATCTCATTTTGGTTCCATAGCTACTCTTGGTAGTTAACAGCTTCAGAAAGCATCAGAATCCGGTCTGAGTATTGTAATGAGGTGTGACTGTCTCTGAGCAAAGCCTACTCATGCACTCAGCTCTGCCTTGATTTCTGTACAACTCTCACCCTTAACCCTCATGCTTAAACCTGTACTAAAATATCTTTAAACCGCCCCCCCCCAAAAAAGTTAGTGCAGACATTCCATTGTTCCCATGCAGGGCTGCTTTTTCTAGTTTTTGCTGCTTCTGCCCAGACCTTCAGTCTTTACTGTTAAGACTGCCTTTTGTGTAGGACACATGACAAATGGCTAGTGACTGAATTTACCTTTCATTTTCTTTTCCTTGCTTCAATCCTTCACAGTGCTAGGGATGAACACAGGCCCTTATACTGCAAGACAAACACTCTACCACTAGGCTCTGTCCCTAGACATCCTCCATTCTCTAGGCAGTACCTGCTGGGGTTAAGGTTACTGTCAGGAGACTGACTATAGGCTACAGCTGTTTTCTTTCATGATGCTTTGGAGGCTGGTCAGACAGGCTCAAGACTACAACCTTGCCAGGGCAGCTTCTGCAGACTCCACGCTATGACTGCCTGCTAGCAGAGTGCCTGTTTGCAAGTAGTGAGGAACTGGGTTGTTATCTGGCAGGCCCCATGTGACTGGTGTTCTCTCTCATCGTAGTGGCCTCAGAGGCCTTTGAAGATGACAACTGCAGCACCTTTGTATCTGAAGATGACTCAGAGACCCAGTCTCTGTCCAGCTTTAGTTCAGGACCAACAAGTCCATCTGAAATACCTGACCAGTTCCCAGCAGTGGCAAGGCCCGGCAGTCTGGATCTGCCCAGTCCTGTATCCCTGTCAGAGTTTGGGATGATGTTCCCAGTGTTGGGCCCTCGAAGTGAATGCAGTGGGGCCTCCTCCCCCGAATGCGAGGTAGAACGAGGTAAGTTGCAACCCAACTTGTAGACTGTTCCAGACCTCTGCCAGGTCTACCATTGCTAGATCTCAGGGGCCCTCGAAGTGAATGCAGTGGGGCCTCCTCCCCTGAATGCGAGGTAGAATGAGGTAAGTTGCAACCCAACTTGTAGACTGTTCCAGACCTCTGCCAGGTCTACCATTGCTAGATCTCAGGGCGCCCAGGGTTGCATTCCTGCATCTCTGAGAATGTGCTGCTGGGGTGGATCACTGTTTGCTTCCTAGGGCTCTTTTGGAGCCCCTGGCCTGCTTTAATCAGAGCTAAGGTCCCATCTCTCATAACAGTCTCTTTGGAAAGGCCCTGCTAGAGAAGTTTGTTTCCTAGCTACAAAATGAGAATGGCAGATTTCGTCTCTAATGGTAAACACTGAGGAATAAACATATGTATGTCACTTTGTGCTGGAGCACCCTCTGAGATGCATGGTGGGCAACAGTGGCAATTGCAAAGTGCTTAGGTGGCTGAGCTGTTGCCTATGGAATTCTTGAAACAGCCAGTTGCCATTTTGTAACTTAACCTTTGAATCTCTACAGGTGACAGGGCAGAAGGGGCCGAGAATAAAACAAGTGACAAAGCCAACAACAATCGTGTTCTCAGCAACAGCAGTGGCAGCGGCAGGGGCAAGAGCCAAAGCAGCACGTCCCTCGAGGGCCAGGCCTTGGAAACCCGGATGAAGCAGCTCTCCCTCCAGTGCTCAAAAGGAAGAGACCCAATTATTGCTGACATAAAAATGGTGCAGATTGGCTGATCTACTCAGGCTGTGGCCCATGTACAAATCATATTTCTACATGAAACTCGAACATTGTGCCAATAACCATTTAACATATGCCAAATCTTATGCATTTACTCTAAACTGCACTAACTAGGTTTCAGTGACCTTGAGGGCTGAAGAATTTCCCTCTGGTAAGAGCTCTTGGGCTCGTGTGTTTTCAGGGCAGAGCCACCGTAGGTGGACTGTGATCAGGGTCACAGCCTTTGCAGAACATTCCCTGTAGTGGCGACGTGGAAGCAGTAACTAGTTCCTGTGAGAGAACCCGAGCCAGGAAGAGGGCTGAATCTTAGCTACACTGGGGGCCCAGCCTACTCTATCCCTTTTCTTCCTTGTCTGTTTAGGGAAATGTGTTCTCCGTCATATCCCAGGGCCTCTAAATATTTTTAAAACGCACAAAAACTCAAGTATTCAGATCATATTGTTTTGCCCTAATGAAGGCTTAAAAACAAAGCCAAGAACACAGTTCATTTTCATCACCTCTGGTGCTCGGAGGGGGCTTTTAAAAAAGCATGTGTGCTGGGACACCTATTAAAACCATTTCCTTGGAAGGCTACCACAAACTGCACTTTTTGGGGTGGGAAAGGTGAATGCCAATGTGGGGACGGGGAGTGCGGGTACAGGGGCATAGCTTAGAGGGGACTTGTGTCTGTGGGAGAAGGTTCTATAGCCTAACTTCACCCTCCCAGCCATGGGGATTTATTCTAAGTAAGTGCATGTGAAGAATGGTTACCATGGTGTTAATTTCTCTGTAGGCTGTAACTTCTACAACTGAAATTATTTAAGGTTTATGCTGCACCTAGTATTCCTTAGAGGAAACTGTCCTCAAAGCTAGGAAAGGGAGTAGGCATGTATTGGCAAAGGTTGTTAAATAGAAGCAATGGAATCTGTTATGCTAATAGTGTGTAGACTGCTTAATGTTTTTATGGTTATGCATATTTAGAGCACTGTATTTCGTCCTATTGTATTTAGCTTTTCTTTAAAGTTGTCTGTTAATTCTGTCTGCCACTGCTTGTATATTTTAGCCATGTGTATCTCTTCATACTGTGGTGGTTTCCCCTTTTTTACTGACTGAGACAGCATCCTAATTACAAGGTTATTTTGTACTTGTCTTAATACCTTGAGTGTAATAAACTGCTTAAGCAAATTTTGACTTCCAAAAAGAAAGCCTAATGTTGTCCCCATCTACTTTGGGCGATCCCTTGGCCCTTAAAGGAGGAGCATGGAATTAGTGGTCATCTGCTCTCACTTCAGGTAAGGGTCTGAATCCCAGTAATTTAGGCTCAAACACCAGTCTGGACTAGAATTCCACTTTTGCTGCTACAAAGCTGAACACTGAGAGACAGGGAGCTACAGGTGAAGCACTCCTGTGGAAGGTTCTCAGCTGAAGCTAGGTCTGGGGAGCTAAGATCCTGCCATATGGGCTCATCTGACCCAGATTTAGTTTGTGGTACACTTGGGCACTTTTAAAAGCACTGGATGGTTCTAAAGTGCCTTTTCTACTGGGAATCAGCTTTTAATGTCTGCATATTAAAGTATGCTATAGAATGAAGCACCTGTTTAACCAAGACACAAGGATTAAGATGCTTTACCTGAGGAGCTGGAGAGATGGCTCAGCGGTTAAGAGCACTGGCTGCTCTCGCAGAGGACCTGGGACCCACATGGTGTCTAATAACTATCTGTAATTCCAGTTCCAGGGGATCTGATGCCCTCTTCTGGCCTCCATGGGCACTGTGTGACATAGGCACTCTTTACAGCCAGCCAGGTAAGGGGCTGGAGAGATGGCTCAGCGGTTAAGAACACTGGTTGTTCTTGCAGAAGACCCAGGTTTGAATCCCAGTTCCCACATGGCAGCCAACAACTGTCTCTAACGCCAGTTCCTGGGGGATCCAACAGCCTCTTCTGTCTTCTGCAGGCACTGCATGACATGGGTGTACTTATCTACATGCAGGCAATACATGCACACACAAAATAAAATATTTTAAATACATCCAGGCAGAAACTTTTTTGTCTTTTTGAGACAGGGTCTCCCTGTAGCCCCAGCTGTCCTGGAACTCACTATGTAGACCAGGCTGGCCTTGAACTCAGAGAGATCCGCCTGCCTCTGCCTCTGCCGGGATTAAAGACGTGCGCCACCACACCCAGCCCAAAACACTCTTAAAGATGTACTTGTTAAAAATTCATCTCAAAAAGCTGACGTCCTTTACAACTGAGACATGCTTGTTTTTCCCTTTTTAGAAAAATAAAAAATGCCATTTGGAAAAGTAGCCAAAAGCATTCCTACCATCATTTCTCTGAAAGTTTAGTCTGTTCATGGATGTCATACTGTACTAACAACTAAGAATTTATCCCTTGAGTATTTCTTGTGAAGAACAGAAGCAGATGGAGTTTATTGATGGGATTCTCCCTTGTCTAGAAGATCCAGGTGTAATATCCTCTCATTTGGGAACTGGGACTTTCATCATTTGGCTTCCTGCCATGGCTCCCCCTCATCTGCCTTCCACCTGCTTGTCCTCTACATCATGAAAGGCATGCACACCCATTGACCCTGGCTTCTGTTTCCAGTCACCACCTATGTTCTTTTGCACATGTCCAGGTTAAAGCAGCCCGTTGCTATTTTAAGTCTTCTTTCTGTAATGGTGATAGTACTCTCCTGGGAACTCACTGTTCTCTTCACCCCCATCCCTGAGTTTCCTGTGTCTCTTACTGTCTTTGTAGTTACCACTTATAAAACTTAGCTGCTTCCCACATCAGTTTCTGGCCATCTTTAGGTGATTTCAGTAGCTGAACTATATAATTCTAGAATAGGAATTTTTCTGGATAATTTTCCTTTAAAGAATCTTCTTTGACTCTGAGCATCTGTGCATGTGCTGAAATTAGAAACCCGAGTCATCCTGTCTCCCATTTTTGTATCTGTCTCACTGTGATTCTGAACTTCAGAAAGGCCTAGGTGGTTTTCCCAGTTTCTGCTTAATGCATTCACCTTCCTGCCACACAGGTCAACTGTGTCGTCAATTCCAGCCTGCTGTCGTCAAAGCAACAGAGCTGCCAAATTGGGACTCTCAGTTGAAGGCTTGTGAACCCAGGGGAAGATCTTTAATCCTTCAGATTTGTTTCCTCAGTTGTGAGAAATCCACCTATACTTGTTCAACCACTGGAAGGATGAAAACAACATGAGTAAATACCTAGTAAAAGATAGCTGTTGGCTACTTTTCTAGTCTGTGAAGCTTCAACTTAAAATACCACTTCTTGAAGTAAGCATGTGTGTACTGGTCCAGCATTACCACTTGTATACTCTGGAGTGCGACTGTAAGACCCAACACTACGTTTACATAGAGATCTCTGTTAGACTTTGTTTTTGTGCTGGGGAGTGAACCCAGGGCCTTGGCTAGGAGGTAGCTCAGTGGTAAAGTTTTTGAGGGTAGATTAGCCCTTACATTTCAGCTCCCATCCTGTACAAAGTAATGTTAACACATGAGGTTCAAATCACATGGTCATAAACATAGCTGTACTCAAATTAATCCACTTACAGTGAATATGCTAAAATTCAAAGTCCCAAGTAGTATTTTGCCAAGTAAAATCTCATTGATGCCAGCCACTGAATTAGAAGAACAGATGTTTTTATAGACAGGGTCTCACTGTAGCCCCAGCTGACCTGGAACTTGCTATGTAGACCACAGGCTGGTCTCAATCTCACAGATCCTCCTGCTTCTGCCTCCCAAATGCTAGGATTAAAGGAGTGTGCCACCATGCCTGGCCAAGAACAGCTAGTTTTGAAGCATGTATATTTGTGCAAATCTGTCCTTTTACAGGAAATACACTAGATTAACTCTTTTAATGAGTCAGATTCTCTTGGTTAAACGATACAGTTTCCATCAGTATAAACATTTTATTTCAATTAAAGGCAGTAGAAATAGAAGTTTGGTAAGTATAAAGTAGAGAGGATAGAGCCCGCCCTATTTTTCAGAACTTTAAAATCTTGAGCATCATCATTCTGTTCTGGTGATTTTTATGTAAACAAATGGGAATAAACACTGATTCCTGGTGATTCATTTTTTGTTTGTTCTTGCAGTTTTATAACTTTATTTGAGTCTCAGCAGTTAGTTCTCATCCACACTGTAGATTTTTGAATGTGGTAACAGGGACATAGGTTACCAAAGTGTACAGCTTGTTTGGCGAATCCTCATCCTCATTAAGTTTTCTGGACAAACAAACACAGATATGATATGGAACAGTCCTTATTCCTTTGGCCCAGACAGCTTTGTTGAGCCTGATATCAATGTGCACATCTGGAGTTCCCATCTCCTTCATGGCGAATTTCCGGATTTGAGTGCCCGAGGGGCATGTTTCTTAAAGCCCACTCCATGGATGCACTTGTGAATGCTGATGGTGTATTCCCAGGTCACCACCTCGTTTGATGGCGGAATGGCCCTTCTTCTCGCCACCCTTCTTTGCGGGAGCCATTCTGCCAGGCCCAACTTGGAAAGCTTGGCGATTCATTTTTATGAATGCTATATAACCCAATCATTACATCCTAAATTTTTAGACTCTTCAAATTCAAATTGCTGTTACAAGAGCACTGACTACAGAGCAATTAAAAAACTCTACACGCTAAATTGTAACCTCTTCAGTCTCAGATTACTTACCAAACTGCTAAAAATTAAAACCCGACATTAAATTAAATGTACCTCAGTTCTAAGATGGAAGATAGGCATCTAACATTAACAACCTCCATTCTTAAGCCTGAGCATCTTCATGCTAAGCTAATTAATACTTTTAAAAACTTGATTTTCATAACATCTGGGCAATAAACATTTAAAGACATAATGAAAAATTCAAATTATAGTACCATGATTCATTTGGTAATTAGCTGCCTAAGAGATAGGGTCAACGCAAACAGGTTTAATTTACATGCTTTTTTAAAAGGAAACGATGTGGCTATTTCAGGATATTAAAACAGCCTGCTCGTCCACTCACTGGGTCTGTGGCCCTCTTTTTCCTCATCTGGTCTCTATGCTCTTGTCCTGTTAGCAAAAGCATCTCACAGTGATGACTGAGTCTAATCTGTAATCATATGCACTTTTTTTAAACTGCAAAGTTGGCTCCTAAATGTAAGCCAATTCTATATACACAAAACCATGTAAACAGTACTTCTAGGTGATTAAGGTAATTCTGACTATGTACACTTCTTACCAAACACCACAACAAGCACCAGATCCACTGTGACATTTTTTGATTTAATTCCATTCCGATTGTTCATCATCCTGATGTGTCTCCTTTGAAGAGCTGATGATTGGTAAGTATATAATCCAGTAGTAGCTGAGATTTCTGTCACTGAAGTTGTGTTATCTTGATGGGGACAATACTATTAAAGTCTAAGAAAAATGGTCCTTCCTGTTTAGGCAAAAAAGTACTGGGGATGATATTGAAGATCCCAGCAGGGATATTTTCTAGTTCCAAGTAACAAAATCCACATCTGTAGTCAGAGAGAATGAGAATAAGGTTTATAGAGCATCATGCCACAAAAAGAAATACTGAATATAAACAAAATGTCAACATTACCTATAGTCACCACTAGATTTCCTCTGAAAGCCATGAGGACCAGGATCTCCCATTACAGAAACTGTTACCACCTCAAATCCAACACTGTACTGCCTAGTGTTAAAATCAAATAGCATTGCTGGATTAGAAAACAGTCGTAAGTAAACACATGATTAAAAATATCCGTATGTGCCGGGTGTGGTGGCACACGCCTTTAGTCCCAACACTCAGAAGGCAGAGGCAGGCAGATCTCCATGAGTTTGAGGCCAGCTTGGTCTCCATAGTGAGTTCCAGGCCAGCTGGGGCTGCAGAGAGTCCCTGTCTCAAAAAGACAAAAACAAAACAAAACAAAACAAAAAAACCCATATGTAAAGTGCAGGTATATTATTAGATCATGTGTGATTCCTGACATTTTACTAAAAAGAACTGGTACTCTGTAGCCTTGTATGCTACTTTCACTCCTAACTATATATACAGCTCTATTTGTAAAGTTGAAGCCATAAAAACTAATATTATATTAAGCTTACCATAAAAGAACATTTTCATTTAATTTTAAATGTTAATGGAGAGATGGCTCAGCAGTTAAGAGCACTGGATGCTCTTGCAGAGGACCTGTGTTTGATTCCCAGCACACCCATGGTGGCTAACAACCATCCGAAACTCTAGTTTCAGAGGATCTGATGCTCTTTTCTGACCTCCACAGTACATGACACTGGGTGCACCTACCTACATGCAGGCAGTACACTCATACACATAAAATAACTAAAATTATTTAAAAATTTTAAAAATGAGATACTGACATTGTAAGGGGCGGAAAAGCCTAAAAGCAAAAACCAAACCAAACCAAACCAAACCAAAAAAACATGAAACAGGAAAGAAAAGTCATGGAATAAAATCTAAATTTGCAGAATAGTTAGCGTATGATGGATATGGCATTCCAAAACTCTTTCACAGAAAAAATGTTGAACTATATTTTATACCAAATATGCATTCATTTTATCTTTTAGAAGATACTGTTCTGGTTTTGCTGTTGATATTTAAATCTGTAGTCTACAAGTGATTTTTAGATCTGATATGAGATAGGTCTAATTGCTATATCTCAGTTGTTCCATACCACTTACTGAAGGCTGGTCTTTCCCTTTTCCTCTTCACAACCATTATTTCATAAATTCACTTGCCTCTGTGTGCACAGATTTGTTTCTAAACTTTGTTCCCTTAAGGTCATTTTTAATACATCATTAATTTCAAAGGTTTGGGGATACAGCTCAGTGGACACAAGGCCTAGGTTCAGTCTCCAGTACTGCTCCTCACTCCCCACCCCCTGCAAAAGCAGTACTCATTAACAAACCTTGGTCCTCTTAGTTCAATCAGTAAGGGTCCGGTCTTATCTATATGGAATTGGTAGATGGGGTTATTTTTGTGAGTGTCCTGAAAATTTCCACATCCTCCAGCACTTTGACCACTCCACTTTCCATTAATCTAATAAAACAAAGATCTTTTGTTAACAAATTTCCACATTCTCTGATTCCACTTGTTTCTACCTGGTTCTCTTTTTTTCTCCAGTTGTCAGTGACAGTGTCCTTACCAGGCAGGTTGTTTACTACACTCCACCTTCATTCCACTGGTAAACTGCTCTCCCTACCAGGAATCCACCCTAGAATCTTCTGCAAATTTATTTTATCCCATACTTGCCTGTTTTCAAATTCTGCTTTAAAAGTTCATCCATATGAACTTTTCTAACAACCAAGGCTTACGCTAATCCTTTTTCTACAATTACTTATTTTTCCTTCCTACAGAAAGTATTGCACACAGAAGGTCTTACATCCTAACCAGAGAGGACACCATTTATACTTCCTTTGTATTTCTATAAAACCCCAAAGTGTTTAAATTAACTAAAGTTAATAAAACAAGAAAATGAAATTCTAAGACCCTAAAAGAGGGGCTGGAGAGACGGCTCAGCCGTAAAGAGCATTGGCTGCTCTTGCAGAGGACCTGGGTTAAATTCCTAGCACCTACATGTGGCTCACAACCATCCTTAACTCCAGTTCCAAGGGATCCAATGCCCTCTTCTGATCTCCGAGGGCTCTGCACAACACAGGTGCACTTACACACATGCAGGCAAAATACTCATATATATAAAACAAAAAATAAAATTAAAACGCTAAAAGAATAGTGGGATTACAACTCAGTCTTTTCTTACCCGTTTTGATAAGGTGTAGGGTGAAGGAATCTTTGAAAAAGTAAAGCTGCATGCTGAATATACCTTTAAAAAAAAAAAAAGGCTGCTCAGAGATTATTCTGAGAAACTATAGAAACATCTGAGTGATTGGAGAGCATATAGCTGGCACACATAAGCCATTGTTCTATGGCAGGCAGGGACAACACCAGGTTTAAGGAGCTGGGGATTATGTCCAGACCTTGGCTTCTGCAACTGAAGAATGAACAAACAGCAGCAGCTCCCAAGATCAGTTTCATCACTAAAAATCCATTCAAACTGAGCTTCTTAAGTCTACAGATAGCAAAATTACAATGACCTTCTTAGCACTATGAGAGTAGTATGTTTCTATGTAACAAAAAGTTCAGAATTATTTTTGTTTTGAGGGTTTAATTAGTTAATACAGGGTCTCCTGCAGCCCTAGCTGGCCTGGAACTTGCTATGTAGACCACGCTGGCCTTGATCTCACACCTCCCCCTTGCCTCCTGAGCACGAGTGCTAGGATTAAAGGTGTTCGCCACCACGCAAAGAGCTTGGATTTTTTTTTTTAAGACAAGGTCTCAAGCTGGCCTTGAACTCAAGATCCTCTTGCTTAAACTGAGATTAGAGGTATGTGCCATCACCATGTCCAACTAAAAGTTGTCTTTTAATTTATTAGTCTAATATACCTCATCAACTATTACTATGAAAATGAAAGTTTTCATTCAAAATGTCAAAGTAAAATACAATTCACATTTTTCTTTAAAATATTTTATTATTTTTATTTTATGTGTATGAGTGTATTGCCTGTATGTATGTGAGTGCATCCGTGTTGTGCAATGCTGCAGAGGTCAGATGAGGGCTTCGGATTCCCCTGGAACTGGAGTTAAGGATGGTTTGTAGCCACCATGTAGGTGCTAGGAATCGAGCCCGGGTCCTCTGCAAGAGCAGTCAGTGCTCTTAACCACTGAGCCATCTCTCCAGCCCCACAACTCACATTTTTACAGAAAGTATCACAATTATTTGATAAACATACAAAAATAAATGAATAGGCAACTCCTTAATCTTAAAGTATAATGACATTAGTGAATTACAATTTCAAACTTTAAACCTTTTCTAATAAATGAAAGTGATCTCTGGGAAAATACCATATGAAGGAAATAATGGGTTGCTTTTTTGGGTGCTGTGATAAAAGGCATATACCACCAGGCCCAGCTGAGAATGATTTTCAAAAGTAAAAATTTTTTCCCAGCACTCTGGAGGCTGAGGCAGGAGGATAATGATTCAACACCAGTCTAGGCTACATAGATTTGAAGCCAGCCTAAGATACACAGCAAGACTCTATCTTAAAAAAAGTTTCAGATGGTGCCACAAATAAGGCAGAGCACATCACAGACACTGTATTACTATGCTTTGTCACTATATAGGTGATGTCTTACTTACCCGAACTGTGTAATGAATTGTGTTCTGTTTTTCATACTGAGAAACCACTAAGGTAAAGGTGTGGACAAGCATTTTACCCACTGAGCCATCTCCCCAGACCCTTTAGTTTCAGATGGTACCACAAATAAGGCAGAGCACATCACAGACACTGTATTACTATGCTTTGTCACTATATAGGTGATGTCTTACTTACCCGAACTGTGTAATGAATTGTGTTCTGTTTTTCATACTGAGAAACCACTAAGGTAAAGGTGTGGGTCCCTGGTGTCATCAGCTTTATCTTAGTCAAGTAATGAGGGCTGTTTATTCGAATTCCATCGATATATGGAGGTGGGTCAGCTGCAGAAAGAAGCAGGTTTATAGAAAAGATTTGTCCTTGAGTTTTTGAAATTTTATGATTGGTAGTAGAAAAAAATAAATGAATAGGCAACCCCTTAATCACTCAGTCTTAAAGTATAACATTAGTGAATTACAATTTCAAACTTTAAACAGTCTCTAACAAGTGAAAGTGAGCTGAGGGAAAATAATGGTTGCTATATGCTTTGTCCCAAGTTTCATTTTTCCTAATAGAGAATTTTAAAGCCAAGATTAGCTTCTTTTGAGGTGACTTTTTTTTTTCCCCAAAGAAAACTGGTTTAGCCGGGCAAGGTAGCACATACCTTTAGTCCCAGCACTTGGGAGGCAGAGGCAGGTAAATCTCTGTGAGATTAAGCCCAGCCTGGTCGATATAGCAAGTGCCAGGCTAACTGGGGCTATAGTGAGACCCTATCTCAAAAAGACCAAAAAAGAAGAAAAAGGGTTTATTTTGGCTTACACTTCCAGAGGACATAGCCCATCATGACAGGGAAGACATGGTGCAGGTGCAAGAGGCTGGCTGATTACACTGCATACTGCATCCACACTTAGGAGTCATGAGTTTTTTTTTTTAAAGACACAAATAATACTCCCTACTACTTAGAATTAAATTAACATTGGTGTGGGGTCAGATTAGTTTTATTTTTGGTTTTTTTTTTTTTGGATCTTTTTGAGACCATCTCCCTGTAGCCTCAGCTGGCTCTGGCTCTGGCTCTGAACTCACTTTGCAGACCAGGCTGGCTTTGACTTAGAGATCTGCCTGCCTCTGCTTCCTGGGTGCTGGGACTCAAGGTCTATGTCACCACACCTGGCTCAGATTAGCTTAATAAAGGGAAATCCTTTACCTTGTTCCCTTTCATTCATCACTAATTTGGGGGGACTCTCCATGGGCTAGGAAATTTAATTTGAATTTAGTTTTAATGTGTATGAGTGTTTTGCCTGCATATGTATGTAAAGTGCTCCATCTGCCTGCAGTGCCTGTGGATGCCAGAAAAGGGTGTCAGGGAACTGGAGTTAAATGATGGTTGTTAGCCCTCATGTGGGTGCTGGGAACCAAACCCAGGTCCTCTGGAAGACGCCAGTGCTCTTAACCACCAAGCCACCTCTCCAGCCCGTCACGGGCTAAGTTGTTAACCCGTGTCTCCATTTACTTTTCTGTTAGTGGACAGCAACAACACCTGTCCTACTGTTGTGATGAAAATAAAACTAACCCTAAAAGTGTCCTGAAAATCAGTATACATAAAAGGAGCACTGTTTAAGAAACACTAAAAAAACCCCAAACTTTCATTTTAAAAGTAAAAGAAGTAATAACTACATTTGAAATTATAAAACCACATACAAAATTTTCATGCTAGGAATATACAGAAAATGTTTGTGTTTAGGCTTATAATGACTAACATACAAAAACAGCTACTAGTTTGACTTGATATTTACCACTGGACCTATTATTCACCATGCCAACTTCAGAACTGAGAGCTGTTGTCTGGTAAGGCTCAGTGCCTGCCCTCAACACAGTAGAAAAGGGAAGAATGCTTATTTTCCTATGAATGAGCAGAGTAAGACATCAACCAGTTCTGACCTCATCTTGAGACCCACCCCCTGACTGAGCCTGTTCTTGTCAAGGTCACAGTGACCACAGGACACTAAGTCCAACGGTCTCACCTTGTTTGGCCTCTTGGACAGCAGTGGATCCAGGTATGTCCACTCTTTTCCTCGGGTTATATCAAACCTCACTGTATTTCCTCAGGTGTTCTGATTATGTTCTTCAGTAATAACAGTGCCAGTTCCTTTGCTCAGCCTCAAGATGTAGGAGAACCAAAGACTCAGGTCCTGGGTGTTCAACCTTGCATCTACAATTCTCTCCAAAGTGATTTCTACAGTCCTGGCTTCAAGTGCTATCTATCTATATATCCCCGGACTCTTCAATCTGTATACCTCAAGTCCTCATCCCATCTCAAAGCCCTACTCAAAATCCAACTGCCCACTTGGCATCTTCACCTGGATATCTTAATACTGCAAATTTAACAAACCAAAAATCATCTGATTTTATTGTCATTTTCCTTAGTCCCTTTTAGGTGACTTATAAACCCCTGAAATATTTTAGAAGATTCTGATGGCACTGTGCAAGAATAGAGTTCTCACATTAAAACAGACATAGCAATATATATAAAATACCCAATCTGCCTGCTGGTTTTTATTAGTCTATCAGCGTAATTAATTTCTACATGTAATCTATATAAAATTTGTCCATTTCAAACAGTCACAAAATGTTTATTTCAATATTTTCATGGTAAGAGGGCTTACCTGGGTAATAAACTTTTTTGCCATCAGTCTTGTACACAACCATTGTGATAAATTCTCGATTATTTGCAAAATCATCCTAAAATCATAAAGAATCCAACCAATGTTGGTTTAATGTTAAAAAAAATTATTGAAAAGCATTTCTTCTAGCTATTTTATTTAGTTCCACAAAAGCACTGCTTTTCTGAATTAGTCACTTCAATAAACAACTAATACTAAGATTATGAGGTTATTAATATTAGAGCTAGCCTTTCTACAATCAAGACTAATGATTCAACTTTTCCAAATGCCCTCCAGCATATTCCTAAGGTCTCAAGTATATATAATCAGCCCTCAAATCCTCACTAAAAAGCAAACTCCTTCCCATTTTTCTTCAGACTGCCTTTGAACAAGATTTAAGTGTATGATTATCAATTTCCTCAAAGGGAAATATTTATCCCAGAACATATTTTCAGAGCACATATATAAATGAAACTGGCTAGTGATAAAATCATGGATCTGAAAGTCTAACTGCATTTGAAAGAATATCTGAATGGTGTGTCATGAGAAGGGTATCAGTACCTTGTCTGTTATGTGTCTACTAAGCAAAACCCAAACTGCAGCGCCCCCTTGTGGACACTGCACCTCCAGTTTGTACTGGGGGTTGTTGGCCAGGCTATAGGCATCTTTCACAGGTCCTTGCTTAGCATCCCAAGTACTAAAAAAGATAAAGTCAACAAAGAAGACAGTATAGGTTAAATTTCTCATATAACTAAACTTCTAAAAGTGCTGTGTTTCAAATGCAATTAATCTATCAAAAATTTTTTTTTGTTTTATTCTTTAAATTTTTTTTGGTATAATCAATATAGAAAGAAACTACTATCATCTGAAAGATAAAGTCAATAAAGACAGTATAGGTTAAACTTCTCATATAACTAAACTTTTAAAAGTACTGTGTTTCAAATGCAATTAAGCTATCAAAAAATTTTTTTGCTTTATTCTTTAAAAATTTTTTTGGTATAATCAATATAGAAAGAAACTACTATCATCTGTGGGCATGATAAAAAGAGGGACTGACAGTCCTTTCAAACTGACCATTGTAGTTTAAAACATTAGAGAAGAGGGGCTGGACAGATGGCTCAGTGGTTAAGTAAGTACTGCTCTTCCTGAGGACCTGGGTTCAGTTCCCAGCACCCACACTGGGTAACTCACAACCACCTGTAACTCCAGTTCCAGGGGATCCAACACATTCTTCTGGCCTCTGCGGGCACCTGCACTCATGTGCACAAACTCATACACAGACACACAGAAATACAAAGTAAATAAATCTTTAAAAGTAGAGAATATTATAAGGCACACTCTGAAAGGTATAAAAAGTTACCTGTGAATGCATGTTGATTCTTTAAAAAGGGCTGGATTCCAACTCAAATAAATCACATCATAGTATTGGCAGAGATCATCCCAGGAAATCCAAAATATTCCTAAAAATGAAATGTCTTTGTTAATTAAAAAAAAAAACCAAAAAAACCTTAGATTGTAAATAACTTAAATCAGTTAAAACATAGCTCATCTTGATAAAAATGTGCTATTAAATTGATATTAAAAGGGTTGGAGAGATGGCACAGTGGTTAAGACCACTGGCTATTCTTGCAAAGGACACTGGTTCAGTTCCCAGCACCCACATGGCAGCTAACAACTGTCCGTAATTCCAGTTACAGGGGATCTGACACCCTCTTCTACACTTTGACAGTGCACACATGTGGTAGGTACACTTTCATACATGTAGGCAAAATAGTCATACTCATTTAAAAAAGATATTAAAAAAGTGGGGCTGGAGAGATGGCTAAGCAGTTAAGAGCAGTGGCTGTTCTTCCAGAGTTCAGATCCCAGCACCCACATTGAGGAGTTCATAACTGCCAGTCTCAGGGGATCCAGCACCTCTTCTGTCCTCCAAAGGCACACATACAAAAACAAATTTAAAAAAAAAATGATATTGCCAGGTATGGAGGCGCACACCTTTAATCCAAGCACTCGGGAGGCAGAGGCAGGTGGATCTCTGTGAGTTCAAGGCCAGCCTGGTCTACATAGTGAGTTCCAGGACAGCTGGGGCTACAGGGAGACCCTGTCTCAAAAAGACACCCCCCCAAAATATATTAAAGGGGCTAGGGAGATGACTTAGTCCAATGTCTGCTGCACAGGCATGATGGTCTGAGTTCCATCCCCAGTACCCATAGAAAGCTGAGCATGCCAGTGTCTGCATGCTAGTGCTGGAGACACAAAGACAGAAAGCCTCTCGGGACTTGCTGGTCAGCCAACCTAGCTCATCAGTGAGTTCTAGATTCAGTGAGAGACCTCGTCTCAAAACATAAGGTGGAGAGCAATAGAGGAAGACACCTGATGTTGACCTGTGGCCTCCATAGGCATCCACACATGTACACAAACACCCCTCCCACTTTCAAAATGGTATTACCGCTACAAAGGATATTTACCATTATCTATTTTCTGAGCTGTTCGGGGATCAAAGTTCAAATACTTCTGCAATTCTGGAGTCCAGTTTTTTACATCATTTTCACTATACCTTCCTTTCCAGCGTAAATGGCTCCAAGGGTTTTTCAACTGGATAAATCTCAGGCCCTATATTAAAAAAACAAAACAGAGCTGGGAGTGGTGGTGCACGCCTATAGTCCCTGCACTTGGGAGGCAGAGGCAGGCGGATCTCTGTGAGTTCAAGGCCAGCCTGGTCTACATAGTGAGTTCCAGGACAACTGGGGCTACAGGGAGACTCTGCTTCAAAAAGACAAAAAAAAAAAAATCAACAATGAGAGAACATTATAATGTAATATACAGCTTAATAATATTCCATTTTATATATGTACCAAATTTCATTATCCACCCATCAGTTGATGGACAACTAGATTGGTTCCACTTCCTTGTGATAGTGAACAGAGCAGCCATAAACATGGAGGTGCAAATATTTCTATGGCAAGGCATGGAGTTCTCTGGGTATATGCACAGGAGATAGTTAGGTCATATGGTAGCTCTATTTCTAATCATATGGTAGCTCTATTTCTAATTTTTTGAGGAGTCTCCAGACTAATTTCCAAAATGGCTGTACTAATTTGCAGTCCCAACAGCAGTGAATAAGGTTCTTTCTCCATGTCCTCTCCAACATTTGTTGCCAGATTTCTTGATGAAAGCCATTCTGACTGGGATTAGGTTACAGTATCTCAAAGTAGTTTTCATTTGCATTTCCCTAATGACTAGGGATAATGAACACTTTTTTTTTGGTCTTTTTGAAGCAGGGTCTCCCTGTAGCCCCAGCTGTCCTGGAACTCACTATGCAGACCAGGCTGGCCTTGAACTCAGAGATCCGCTTGCCTCTGACTCCCAGTGCTGGGATTAAAGGCCTGTGCCACCATGCCTGTCTAACTATAATGAACACTTTTTAAATTTTTATTTTTTATGTGTATGCGTGTATTGCCTATGTGTAGGTAAGTGCACCCATGTTGTGCAATGCCCGTGGAAGACAGAAGAGGCTGTCAGATCCCCAGGACAGTTGTTAGCTGCCATGTGGGTGCTGGGTTTCAAACCCGGGTCTTCTGCAAGAACAACCAGTGTTCTTAACCGCTGAGCCATCTCTCCAGTCCAGTGAACACTTAAAAAAAATTATTTTATGTGTATGAGTGTATTGCTTACATGTATGAACGTGCACCCATGTCGTGCAATGCCCATGGAGGACAGAAGAGGCAGTCAGATCCCCTGGAACTGGAGTTAGCTGCCATGTGGGTGCTGGGATTTGAACCTGGGTCTTCTGCAAGGAACAGCCATCCTTAACCTCTGAGCCATCTCTCCAGCCCCATGAACACTTTTTAAAGATTTCACTTTTTTTTTTTTTTTTTTTTGGTTTTTTTGAGACAGGGTTCCCTGTAGCCCCAGCTGTCCTGGAACTATGTAGACCAGGATGGCCTTGAACTCGCAGAGATCTGCCTGCCTCTGCCTCCCAAGTGCTGGGATTAAAGGCGTGCGCCACCATGCCCGGCCTAAAGATTTCACTTTTATTTTTAACTGTGTATGTTCATATCAATACAGTGCCAGCAGAGCCCAGAAGAGGGTGTCGTATCCCTTGGAACTGGAGTTACAGACTATTGTGAACCACCACGTAAGGGCTAGGAACCAAACTCTGGTCCTCTGCAAGAGCAGCAAGTGCTCTTAACCATTGAGCCATCTCTTCAGCCCCCTGAACACTTCTAAAAGTAGTTATTGGCCATTTGTATTTTTCTTTTCTGAAAACCATCTATTCAATTTGTTAGTTTATTTGTTGATTAGTAATTTTGTTCCTTGCTATTTAATTTCTGCAGTTCTTTGTAAATTCTAGATATTAGTGCCTTGTTTGATGTATAGCTGGTCAAGACTTCCTTTCTGTGGTCTGTGTGCTCTTCTCTTTGTTTCCTTTGCTGTGCAGAAACTTTAATTTCATGCGGTTCCATCTGTTGATACTTGGGGCTGGTTCCTGTGCTACTGATGTTCGGTTTGGGAAGTCCTTGTTTACCCCTATATCCTAAAGAGTATTCCCTATGTTTTTACTTAGAAGTGTCAGAGTTTTAGGTTTTAAAATTAAGGTCTTTGATCTATTTCAAAGGTACAAAGTCAAAGTTGTGAATCTAATTTCATTCTTTTGTAGTGGATATCTGGTTTTGCCAATACTATTTATTGAATAGGCTATCTTTTTTCCCATGTATGCTTTTGCTTCCTTTGTCAAGAATTAGGTGGACATGGTGTTGTCAGAACATTATTCAGCCCTAAAGAAAAATGAAACAAAAATTCACAGGAAAATGGATGAACCCAAAATGTTTATTAAGTGAGGTCACCCAATCTCACAAAGTAAAAACCTGCATGTTCTCATCGTATGCAGATCCTAGTCCATAATATGTATGTAAACAAATGCCATGTGTGGTTATCTATAACATTTAGAAAGAACAAGAAAAAGTAATTTAAAAAAGGTATACTGAGATGGGCATGGTGGCACACGCCTTTTATCACAGCACTCAGAAGGCAGAGGCAGGTGGACCTCAGTAAGGCAGGTGGACCTCAGTGAGACTGATCCTAGCTTAATCTACATAGCAAATTTCCAGGCCAGCTGGGGCTACTGAGAGATCTTGTCTCAAAATGTAACAAAGCAAAACAAAACAAACCCTCAAAACATATTTATTAAAAAGGCATACTAGCAAGTTCATGTACGGAGCATAGTTGCAAAGGTCCTTTGAATCCTGTCTCAGGATGTAATACATTTTTGATGTGGAATGGGTCCTTGGGTGGGTGGTCACATGATTCACTGGGAGTCTAACAAGAAAGTCTGAATTTTAATTATGGTTTTTCTCTTTTTTTTAATACTTCCCTATGTTGTGTGTGTATGAGAGAGTACTAATAAAAAGTTTCAAAACACGTTTGCCTTATTAGTTATACTACTCTTAGGATGAGTTTTAATTACTTACCAATTATTTTCTATTAACACACTAGCACTTTCTAAAAGAGGAACATAAAAGAGAAGAAATCTCTGCTAAGTTTTTCAGAGGCAGATCTCAGGTACCAGGAATATTCAAGGGCATATGATTACAGATTTTTACTGATAAGGAGTACGCCAACAACTCAAAAGGGCTCAACTAGAGGGAGACATACAAGAGCATTTTCGAAAAAGAATCTGGTTTATGGCACAACATCCCAATTCCAGCTATTTTAGCAAAGGAGAAAGCCTTCAATAGGTTAAGAAATGCTTAAGACTTAGGTAAACTGAAAGGCAAGGGGCTTGAAATTCAGATACACCCCACAATAGACTAGGGAGGGAGGACTATTCCCTCCAGGAGGGGAACTATTCCCTCCAGGAGGGAACTATAAAAAAAGATCAGCCCAGGAAACCCTTCAAATTTGCACTCAATAATACTGGTTACCACCTCCAATTTTACCATACATGAAGACTTTGAGGCAAGATCAACTCTGACAGTAGAGTTCGCGTACACAAAAGGAAATGGGATATTCTGCAGAATAAATGTCTGCTCAAGCTACACATCTGCAGTGTGACAGTGAGCACTGCCACGGTGAAGAAACCTGTCACTGGGTCACAGTTTATTTTGTGTACTGATGCTCTAATGAAAGTCTCAATCTTTATAAAATCACTGTCAAGAAATGGGTACTCTGAGGCTAATACTACTTATTTGTAACTAGAAAGGTGGCTGCTTAATTATCTAAACTTAGATCACTTGCCATTATCTCACTGCCGATCACATTCCACTAATACCTTCCTCACAAGATACTCTAACAACGCAAGAAGATATAGTACTGAACAGCAACTGTTATTTGCAATATTTTGCTGTACGTAGAAAATTATAATTTTAAAACAAAATTACCAGGCTGGGCGTGGTGGCGCACACCTTTAGTTCCAGCACTCAGGAGACAGAGGCAGGCGGATCTCTGTGAGTTCAAGGCCAGCCTGGTCTACATAGTGAGTTCCAGGACAGCTGGGGCCACAGGGAGACCCTGTCTCAAAAAGACCAAAAAAAAAAAAAAAAAAAAAAAAAAAAAAAAAAAAAAAAAAATCAGCTAACCTAGTTTCACATCAATTTTTGTATTATTTGCTTTAAATATCAACTTTAGTTCACGTTTAAAGAAATACACAATTCTGGCCAGGCATGGTGGTGCATGCCTTTAATCTCAGCACTTGGGAAACAGAGGTAGGTGGATCTCTGTGAATTTGAGGCCAGCTAGTGCTACATGGTGAGACCCTGGAGATTGGAGTTGGAATCCTAATTTAGAAAGCCCTGAGATCATACAGTTTTACTGGGGTTTGAATCTAGGATCTAGTGCATGCTAGTCAAGTGCTATGTCACTGAGCTACATCCTTCAGGGGAAATCATACAGTTTTAAATGTTGTGGTAGGCTCCTACTGCTTTGCAATCATGTGTCACACAGAAGCATTTGTGATGCCCTCATAAACAGCAGCCCAATAAGATTACAGAGGAGCTGAAAATTCACAGCCACCCTAATATAATAATGCAATGTACTACTCGTGTTTGTACCTAAATGAACTAGGTGTTTTGTGTTTGTTTAAATTCTAGCCCACTACAAATACTGCTCAACATACTATGAGTAAGAGCTGTTATTAAGTACTCTGCATTTGCTTTTTGTTGTTTGAGAGGTCCAGAGTGACAAGGCTTCCTATTCTCTATCTCTTGATTGCTGGGATTTTATCTTTTGTTTTTTTAAGATAAAATTTATCTTTTTGTCTTATTATGAGACTGGTAAAAACAAACCTACTGTGCTGTCAACTGTAGAGAGTGTGGCAAACAATTATGTACAGTGCATACTTGATAATGACAAGCACTTATGGCACTGGTTTATATATTCACTGTCTTTTTAATAGTTACTTTACAACATATACCTACTGAAAAATACACAAAAAAAGGGCAGGCATGATGGCACATACTTATAATTCCATCACTTGGGAGGCTGAAGCAGAAGGCCGGTCTGGGATATGCAACGAGACCTCGTCTCAGAAAAACCAAAAAGCCAACCCAAACAAAACCAAGCCATGCTGTCTTGAACCAGCAACAGCTTCACACATTTTGTGTGTTCTGCTGCATCATTTCTCCGTGTTTGACTTAAACTCCTATTTTCTTTGTGGAGGCCCTAGGAGCAAGACAGTCAGACTGATACACACAATACTGCCCAGATGTGTAGTAGACTCTGCTATCTCAACTTCTCTAAGTACACTCTGATGTTTGCATAACGACAAAATCACCTACAGATAAATTTCTTGGATTATATCCTGCGGTTAAATGAACTACTTCAGGGTGCCTACTTAAAAAAACCCAGTTTTAGCTGGGCATGGTGGCGCACACCTTTAATCTCAGCACTTGGGAGACAGAGGCAGGCGGATCTCTGGGAGTTTGAGGCCAGTCTGGTCTCCATAGTGAATCCAGGCCAGCTGGGGCGACAGGGAGACCCTGTCCTAAAAAGACCAAAAAAAACAAAAAACAAAAAAACCAAAAGACCAAAAAAAACCCCCACCCAGTTTTGCCAGCCATGATGGTGCACACCTTTAATCCTAGCACTCAGGAGGCAGGGACAGGCAAGCAGCTGAGTTTAAGACTATCCTGGTCTATAGAGCAAGCACACAGGCTCCGTACAAAACAAAACCACCAACAAAAATTACCCAGTTTAATTAACAAATAATGGGTACTGTCTGACTGATCAGTGTCTTTCTGTTCTATTAAACTACACTTAATAATCTTTACATTTTCTAGAGCATAAAACCAATCAATTTTTCATTTAAAAATAGCAATAACCTGAGAAGCCCATGAAGTCACACTTTCTAACATCTTAGCCCAAGTACACACTGAAAAAAAGGTCTGAAGCATGTACGGACTTCAAGGAAGAGAAATACATGCTGACACAAACCCACGGCATGTTTTATTCCTAGCCATCTTTCTACTTTTCCTCCTTTCACAAGTATTATCTACTACTCTCTACAGTTTTCTATTGTGATTGATACAAACACCAACATGCAGCCTGGAACCTTTGGGTTGTGTATTTACCTCAACTGTGGCAACGTGGAGAAAAAAGGAAAGGAGGTGTAGAGTGTTCCTGCCCTGTCATCACTACCTGTGCTGTCACTGGCACTTCATCTTCTACCTTTTCATCTCCTAATTTCCAAAGAAGGAAATCAAGGTGTTTATATAGGAAGAATGGCCAAAAAACTCCAAAACCTTCATTTATCAGACTCAATGTCTGATAATCATTTGGGATACTGTAATGTCTGATCAAATAAGAGGAAATTGTAAGGCATAACCTTGAACTCTCTAATATCCAAGACCGCATATGCATGTGTGGGAACCAGGCCCCACTTCTCCCCTTCCGCTTCTGTCATCGTTCCAGTTGACGCAGTGATGAGGACGTCTCCCTTGTGAAATCTGCAACGGCCCCAAAAGACAAGAAATTAAAGGAAAATGCATTTGAAATGTTGGCTCACATTCTTCCCTTTTGGACGAAGGCTTACATAAAAACTTCCATGAACTTGAATTCAAAAACAAGCTATTCCCCTAATAGATGAATTATCATTTTTCTTCTACCTTCCCCCCATACAATTTAATTCTCAGGCAGAAACCTATCAGTGAAGAAAAGCAAATGCTAAACTTTCAGTTAACATATAAGGGTGAAGGTGTGAAATCTGAATTCTTGTCTCCAAGAGTTATCACCTTCCCTACCAAATCAAAAGGCTTCCTGCTCCTGTTAACACACCTGTTGTTTAGATGATTTCCCAGTCCCCGCATCTGGGCTATCTGCTTTTGGCTTAAATTCTTAAGACTTCTTTTCCCATCTTCCCTCAAATTTGTTAAGGACTTAGTGAGAGCAAATGAATTCTCCACAGTCCTTAATCCACATTTAGTTACTTTAGATTATCCAAATCTTGGGTTAACTGTACCCACTACTGAGGATAACTAAGGCTGACTGTAGCAAGTACATAAAGTCTATGTAAAAAATAATTTCCCTGATAACTAGAAATGACTATTTCAGTGATTTATAAATGTAATCCCACCACTCAGGAAGCTGAGGCAGGAAGACCATAAGTTGGAGGGCAGCCTAGGTATCTCAAAACAAAAAGTGGGTGCTGGAGAGCTGGCTCAGCAGTTAAGAGCACTGGCTGCTCTTAACTGAGGATCCTGGGTTTAGTTCCCAGCACTCACATGGGAGCGAACAACCATCCTTAACTCCAGTTCCAAGGGATCCGACACCCTCTTCTGGCTTCTACAGGCATTGCATGGAACAGGTGCATTTAAATACATGCAAGCAAAACACTAATACACATTAAATTTAAAAAATACCAAAACTCCAAGAAGTGACAGCTTCTACAGTCTCGATTCTAAATAAACCATGATGCCTTTAAACAGTCTTGCTTACTACAAAAAGGGAGGAAGAAGAAGGGAGTGAGGGAGGGAGGGAATGAAAGAAAGAAGAAAAAGGAGACAGAAACACAATTACCTTTGATAAAGCATTCTGAATGAATTACCCTTACTGAAAGTCTGGCTATCTGAGTGCATAGCAATCCTTTCTGGTATCCACCCTGTCAGTGCATGCAGATCAATATTCTGAAACATAAACACATTTAAAACTGTTAATGTTTTTTGGCCCTTAAATAAATCCCTAGTGTAGTTATTAAATCTCATTGATTTGGCATAATGATCTTGATAGGTATAAATCAGAAGATAAAGTTGCTTTGCTGCTCTCTCTGAATTCAAAAGAATTCTTTTACTAGTAAATATGGCAAAACTCAAAACACAAGAGATTGCTTTGATGATAACTGTCATTTACCATTTAGTGAGCTCTTACAGACAGCTCTAACATTTTACATACAATCCCACGCTTTCTTTCTCTAAGACAGAAATTGAAAGGTACTCAATTACAAAGCTGAAGGATAGAACAATGAAATGTGTAGGCTAGGAAGGAAAACAATATTCTATTGCATTTAATTAAGACCTTTAAATTCATTGCCTAACACTGTAAGATTCTAAAGAGTGGAGGCGGCCTGGCAGTAGGCAAGGAAACTTACTAAGTACAAATGATGGGTGATTTGCATATAACAATTTATTGAAAAATTTCCCCCAGACAGAATCTTATTATGTCTGGGTGGTTTTGGGGAGGGGTATTGAGACCTGGTTTCACCCACATGCAGTCTGGCTGGTCTAGAACTCACTATGTAGACCAGGCTGGCCTCATACAGCAATCTTCCTGCCTCAGCCTCGTAAGTGCCATGCCACCACCTGCCCCCTCCTCCAGGCTCATTTAATCTCTACAAAGCCTGAGAAGTGACTATAAATTTTGTATTATAGACAAAGAAGCCAGGAAAGGGAAATAAAATTGCTAAGGCCGTGGGTTGGCTGTTGTCGAAATTTACAGTTATGTTAATCTGATTAATTTCTGGGTTAAATCTAATAGTTTCTATCACGTAAATGAAGACACTGACACAGTTCAGCTTTACAGGCTATACCAATTCCTTGTAACCGAACTCACAGTTCAATTAAGGATAGAAATATCACACCCTACCCCATCCCAAGCTTGGAAAAAATACACTATCTTGTATTTCAATATAATTCCAGAGATGTTAGGCTTTCCTGCATACAAAATCTACACAGTGTGCTATCCTTACACAAGAAAACATGTATCCCTATAATAAAGGAACTGGTGGCATTTCTCAAGGGTTCATATCTTTTTTTCCCACCAAACTCTATAAATTTTCAAGTTTAAAATATATTAGGGAGGCTGAGTGTGGTGGCACATGCCTTTAATCCCAGCACTTGGGAGGCAGCCTGCTCTACCTAGTGAGCTCCAGGGCAGCTAAAGCTATAGGGAGTCTCTGTCTCAAAAAAAAAAAAAAGACTATGAGGCAGGAGCAGTTGATGACCACAAGGAAACAATTTACCAGGTGGCTGGGAACTTACAGCAATGATGACAACATGCACAAGAACCATGCAAACTCAAACCAGACAAAAACATGGCATAGAACTGTGGAAATGGCTAAGAAACCCCAACCTGAGCACTACTGGCAATCGCTGACGGGTGAGGGAGAGTTGGTCTTCTTTAAGGCAGTAACACTAGATGGCTGACCAGGCTTCAGTGAATGAACTTACACAAAGGGACATTTGGGACACAAACTTAATAGGCCTTACATATATGACAGAATGCATGACATCTGGTCAGGGGGCATGGGGAGAGTACAGATAAAGGAGGGGGTCTAAATAGGATCAAAATGTATAAAATGTACAAAAATTCAATAAAATTAAAGATAAATAAATAAAATATATTAGATATCATAGGTCTGTGTATGGATTATACTATCTACTACTTACTGAGTTGGACCCTGGGAAATCATATCCTCCCATAACTTTCATGTATGCCTTCTCTATCAGAGACACCCATAATTCACTTTTATTGTTGGAATATGAACACAGCAATTCTCCTTTATGATCAACAGGTAACTGGTCATCAATTATAACCTGCAGAAAGAGAACATTAACTTCCTTAAGTGAAACAAACCATCTTAAAGGCTTCTCAAGGTATTAAAAAAAAAGCTTTCATAATGACAAAAGACATAATATATCTATTATTAATAATAACAGCTTTATGTTTCTAGAATCTCATCTATTATAAAATGATCTTTTTAAGATCTCTTTATTCATGCTACAAGCTAATCTCACTTCCAGATAAGCCACTAGTTACACAGCATTTACATATATGTATATAAGGTATCAACATTATTAGGGATTCTAGAATGTACATTATCTTTAAAATAATTACAAAAGTGCCTCACTATAAAATAACAATATTGCCTGCCACTTTGGTTTACATCTATAGAAAGATTCATCCTATAGTTATAAAAGTAGATTATGGGGGCTGGAGAGATGGCTCAGCAGTTAAGAACACTGGTTGTTCTTGCAGAAGACCCGGGTTCAAAGCCCAGCACCTACATGGCAGCTAACAACTGTCCGTAACTCCAGTCCCAGGGGAT